GACGCCGCTCACCCTGCCTGGCCTGGCTCACCCTGCCCGGCCTGGCTGGTACTGAGGAGATCCCAGCAAAGCCGCGGCCTGCACCATTCCCTGGCTCCCGTCTTCTCCCTCCTAACCACCCTGGCAGCTCTCACCTATCCCAGTGTGACATGGCCCGGCGTGTGCACCTTCTGTCCCCAGGATCTGGGAGTGTAACAAACTCTGTTTTCTTTCCCAAGCTTCTCTGATCCTTTGGCTGCCCCCAACGGACCATAACATAAAAGAATACAAACTACGGAACAGGGTTTGTGGCACAGTGAGTTAAGCCACCACCTGCAATGCCATTTCAGTGCACTGGTTCCAGTCCCAGCTGTTCCACTTCCAGCCCAGCTCCTGGCTAATGCGACTGGGAAAGCAGCAGACGATGGCCCAAGAACCTGGGCCCTTGCCACCCACGTGGGAGACCTGGATGGAGTTCTGGGCTCCTGGCTTTGGCCTGGCTCAGGCCTGAACATTGCAGCCATTTGGGGAGTGAATCAGCAGATGGAAAAGCTCTTTAAGTCTCTACCTATGTCTCTCTTTGTGACTCCACCTTCCAAATAAAGAAGTCTTTGAAACAAAAAAGAACATAAAATGTAACTTCTAGGGTCGGCACTGTGGTATAGAGGGTAAAGCCACCACCTGCAGTGCCAGCATCCCATATGGGCACCGGTTCGAGACCCAGCTGCTCTACTTCTGTTCCAGCTCTCTGCTATGGCCTGGGAAAGCAGCGAAAGATGGTCCAGTGCTTGGGTCCCTGCACCTGCATGGGAGACCCAGAAGAAGCTCTTGGACCTGGCTTTGGATTGGCCCAGCTGGCCATTGCGGCCACTTGGGGAGTGAACCAGCGGATGGACAATCTTTCTCATCTCTGCCTCTGCGTCTGCCTCTCTGTAACTTTAAAATAAATAAATAAATCTTTAAATATAAACATATATATATATATATAACTCCACAAGAAAATGAGTCTCATATTTAAAGATGAAATAAGTCATCTCAGAAGCCAAACGCTACCTAAACAGACACCCCAAGCTGAGGGAAAGAGAACGGCAGGCAGACAGAGGGACCTGAGGTGTCGCCCCTTGGCCTGGTAGCCCCTGCTCCTGGCACCCACGCCCCAAGTCCCCCCATGAATGCACACAGATCATACAGCTAAGATGCACAGAGTGGACCCCATCAGCTGGCAAAGGTCTGGACCAGTGAGAGGCACAAGAGTAGGCTAAGAATGAACTCACCCCTCCCTAAGGCAGCAGCACAGGTTTTCTTATGCTTCTTTTACAACTTCGGAGCTTAGGGGCTAGTGTTGTGCCACGGCGGGTTAGGCCAATGCCTGTGACACCAGCATTCTATATATGTATGAGGTTAAAGTCCCAGCTGCTCCACTTCCAAGCCAGCTCCCTGCTAATGTGCATGGGAAAGCAGCAGAGGATGGCCCAAGTTCTTGGGTCCCCGTCACCCACATGGGAGAGCTGAATGGAGTTCTGGGGTCCTGGCTTCAGTCTGGCCCAGCCCCAACCATTGTGGCCATTCAGGGAGTAAACCAGCAGATGAAAGAGCGCTCTGTCTCTAATTCTCTCTCTCTCTCTCTCTCTGTAGCTCTGCCTTTCAAATAAACAAATCTTTAAGAAAAATAAATAGTTATTCATTTCCCTGAATTAGGCAAGAGCAGTGACATTCATACCTTTTTTGGTCCATAATATTTCTGAATTTCTCTCCATCGAAGGCCCCTTCCTCTCAGGGGCATAGGAGAACCCCACAGGCAAACCTCGAATACCCACTTATCACTGTTAGTGTACTGAGTGCTTACTGCTCTGCACTGTATACAGAGTAAGTCTCAAAATAACTCTGAGAATAAAAAACAAAATCCAAAACCCAGTCCTGCACAGCGTATCTACTTCTTGTTATTCCCACCCTACAGAAGAAAAACACCGAGACCCAGCGAGGTAAAGAAACTTTCCCAGCATCACACAGCTGGTAAGTGGCAGAGCCAGGCTCCAGCTCAGCCCCCGACTACAGAGACCAGGCTCCTAAAATCCAACCTCTGGCATCTCACCAAGGGGAGCCCCACTCAGCCAGAGGAAAGGTCATGATTCCTAGAACAGCTTCCTGCCATGTGGGGCAAAGACCTCTCCTTTCCAAACTAAACCATTCCGATTGTTATTTTCAGTATCCGGATGTGGGTGGTCCCTGCCTTGAGAGCAGGCGCGGAGCCAGAGGAATCCTCCAGCAAATAAGCAGACTGATGGCAGCACTACCACACTGCCCCTGGGACTCCGGCACCTTGCTTTTGTTTTCTAACCACAAATCCCCCCAAGACCCTCATCAGCCTCATTGCCCAGCTCCACCAGGTGACGTGAGCAGACCAGGTCCAAGTTCGGCTCCTCAGCCACTGTGTCTGTGACCTTGAACCAAGTATGTAACTTGGTTTCCTTGTCTGTAGCCCCAAACACCCAGGGCCACTCAAGTCCAGTGCCCAGTAGAAAGCCTGACCCACACCCATCAGGTTCTTCTTCCTTTATCTGCCTGGTCACGTTTCAGGAAGCCACCACCTCTCTGCTTCCAAAGTATTCCAAGATTCCCAACCTCACACTGCTGGTCCTACAAATCAGATTATATACAAGAAAACACAGGCAAGCGCCTGACACTCCACATACAGCACTTGGATCTGAACTCTTGTCACTCTTCAGGAAATAAATCAGTTCCAAAAGTACTCTAAAGAGGGTGTGAGCCTCCATTTTAACATGATTTCCTTTACAACATTATTATCTGCACCATTCCCCCTGGGTCTCTACATCAATGGTGCATATTTCTATCACAGTCAGGATCACTTTAAAGTAATTATTAGCATTTTTGTCTAATACGCTGAATCACAAGTATGACTACATTACTGGGAGTTTTCAAAACTGTACAATTGCCCCTCAGTATCAGTGGCTATTCCTTCCTAATCACCCCTAAACGCGAAAATCCAAGGATGCTCAAGTCCCTTATATAAAACAGCACATGGGGCGGGTGCTGTGGTGCAGTGGGTTAACGCCCATATGGCTCCACTTCCCATCCAGCTCTCTGCTATGGCCTGGGAAAGCAGTGGAAGATGGCCCAAGTCCTTGGGCCCCTGCACCCGCGTGGGAGACCCAGAAGAAGCTCCTGGCTCCTGGCTTCGGATCAGCACAGCTCCGGCCATTGCGGCCAATTGGGGAGTGAGCCATCAGATGCAAGACCTCTCTCTCTGCCTCTCCTCTCTCTGTGTAACTCTGATTTTCAAATAAATAAATAAATCTTAAAAAAAAAATAAAGCAGCACAAATAACCTGCCCACATCCTCCCCCGACTTCAGGTCATCCCTTGAGACTACCATACCCTATACAACGTCCATGCTACACTGCACTGCTTAGCGAATGGCAGACACCATTTACTCCTAGCATTTTTACTCAGTGGTTGCTTAAACCCACGGATGGAGACCCTGAGAACACACAGCGCTGACGGTGGACACCAAGTCCGGCCCCGGACTCTCACTCCAGGGGCCCAGCAAGGGGCAGCGGGTGGCAGCCAAGCTCCCGGGCTGGTTTCAGACACAGCCAGGGTCGGCCCCGCACCTGCGGAGTTTAATTCATCTTCGCATCTCCATCCCCTCGCCTCATCCACGGCGGCACACAGTAGGCGTCCGATCATCATTCCTGGCACGAATTAGAATTCGTAAAGCCAGGACTTCAGCCTCCACTGCTCAAATTAACTCGTTAAAATACTGAGCGTGCGCACCAGCCGGGAGTCCCCGCAGGGAAGGCGGGGGCCCGGGCAGCCGGAGCGCGGTGTCCGCCCCGCACCCTCCACCGCCCCGCACCCTCCACCGCCTGCTTCCTGCTCTGAGGAACAGCAGTGAGCCCCGCGCCCGAGCATTCCGGGAAGCCAGGGACAAAGACCCCGCAAGATGGCAACCGGCACCATTCCTCGGACACCTGTGGACGCCACCCCCGCGGTCCGCCCTGCCCACCCAAGCAACCGACGCCGCATTGGGGGCCGCCGGGGGCCGCGCCCCGAGAGCACCGGACGCGCAGGGCCAGGGCGGGGCGCGGAGGCCGCACCTGGGCCGCCCGCGAACACGCACAGCTCCGGGCCCCACCCCCGGGAACTCTGATTGGCGGGGCTGGGCGGAACGGGGGACTCGGCGTTTGCACCACCCCCCTCCCTCCAACCAGGTAAGTGGCGAGGCCACAGCCCCCGGACCTCAGCGCCAGCCTCCCAGCGGGATGGCGGCAGGGCGCAGACTCCGCCCGCCCGTCCCCCTCCCTCTCCAGGGAAGGAAGCCCCCGCCTCTGCGCGCGGCCCTCCGGGTCTGCGGCAGCGACAAGGGCACAGCAGGTGGCAGCCCCCGCCACGGCCCTGGGGCTCCTTCCCCCAATTTCCCCCGACCCCCGGGGAGAGCAGCGTCATCCATCGGCCGATGGAAGCCTCCTCCCACCCTCTAGGGCTGCAGTCCGGGCCCAGCCCAGGCCGGCAGCCGTGCGGACCGCAGGTGGTCTCCGCGCAGCCTAGCAGGGCCACCCCGCGGCGGAGGCCGAGCCCCCCCCCCCCCCCCAAGAAGCGGAGCCCGTCCCGGGGTGCGAGGAACGCTCCACGCGCACAGCACGGCCCGGCATCGACCAAATCGTGCTTACAGCGCCAACGAGTCGTTTTCGAAACAATAAATCGGTTCCAAAGCGCGGCTGCTCCTAATTCAGCGCGCTATGTAAACAGCGCTGGGCGGGCCCGGCTTCTCGGGGTTTCCAAAGGCGCAAGGCAGCCGGGCGCCTGGGCCCAGCAGGGAAGGGACCGGGCTGGGGGCCCTGACCCTGGGCTGGAGCTGCGGACCCCACCCCCACCCCACCCCCTCGCCGCCGCCCGGGCCGCGCTCATGGCGCCGGGCACGGCCGACCTGTCAGGCCTGGCCGCGCCGAGCGCCGGGCCCTAGGGCGCGCGGACAAAGGAGCGGCGGCCGGGCCCACTCACCCGGCGCGGGGCCTGCTGTCCATCCGCTTCTTCTGGCGCACCGGCTGCAGCGGGATGTTGTCCGTCATGTCGGCGGCGCAGCCCGCCTTGGCCGCCGCGCCCCCCGCGCCGCCTGGGCCGCCGCCCGGTCCGGCCTCCGCGCCGCCGCCCGCCGGCGCCGCGCCGCCCCGGGGGAGGAGGCGGCGGCAGCGGGCGGGCCGGGCCCGCAGCGAAGGGGCGAGGTCGCGAGCGCCGGGCCACGCGCGGAGCCGCCCGCGCGGCCCGACCGACGGACACGGGCGCACCATGGGCCCGAGCTCCGCGCCGCGCCCGCTCGCTCCGCGCCGCGCCTGCCACGGGGGGCGGCCGGGCTGTGTCCGCGCCGCCGCCGCCGCCGCTGCCGCCGCAGTGTCCCCGCCCCCGGCCCGCGCCGCGCGCCCCCCACGCGCGCCCACCCGGCCACGCGCCCCCCGCCCACGGCCCGCAGTGCGCGCGCGCGCCCGTCCGCCGCAACCCCCAAATCCGACCTTCGCGGTGGACCCGGGTTCTCTCGCTTGCTGGTTCCTTCCTCCCAGGTTCATGTTCACACGCGCAGCCCGCCACACGCCCCCTGCCCAGCAATCAACCCGCTGTGGCGCGGGCAGCAATTCAGGCCCCTCAGCCTCGCCCTGCGCTTGGACTCCTGAATTCACCATCACACGCACAGACCCGCACAGCTTCATTCCCTTCTGGGACTTGAACCCGTGCCCCTCGCTCAGGCCCCAGCCTCGCACACACCCCTGCCTCCTCCACCCAGACCCGCTAAACAGTCATTCGCACTCACACTCCCTGTGTAGGACCCACAACTTCTCAAGGGCCCAGTAACGCTTGGGGAGAAGAAGGAAAGAATTAGGAGGAAGGGAGGGGGGCGTACAGCGGGTTAGGCGGCCACCTGTGGAGTGGGCAGCCCATAAAAGCACCCGCAGGAGTCCCAGCTGCTGCTCCACTTCCGGTCCAGCTCTCTGCTAGTGCTCCTGGGAAAGCAGCAAAAGGTGGCCCAAGCACCTGCCACCCACATGGGAGACCTGGACGAAGCTCCTGGCTTCAGCCTGGCCCAGCCCTGACTTTTGAGGCCATTTGCAGAGTGAACAAGCTGATGGAAGATTTCTCTGTCTCTCCCTGTCTCTGTAATTCTGCCTTTGAAATAAATTAATCTTTTTTATTAGATTTATTTATTTATTTGGAAGTCAGAGTTACACAGAGAAAAGTAGAGGCAGAGAGAGGTCTTCTGTCTGCTGGTTCACTCCCCAATTGGCCACAACGGCCGGAGCTGTACCAATCCGAAGCCAGGAGCCAGGAGCTTCTTCCAGGTCTCCCAGGCAGGTGCAGGGGCCCAAGGACTTGGGCCATCCTCTACTGCTTTTCCAGGCCATAGCAGGGAGCTGGACTGGAAATGGAACAGCCGGGTCTCGAACCAGCGCCCATATGGGATGCCAGCACTTTAAGCCAGGGCGTTAACCCATTGCGCCACAGTGCCAGCCCCAGTAAATTAATCTTTAAAAGAAAAAAGGAAGGGAAGGAGGGAGGTTAAAAATCAATATGTAATTAAAGAGCCTCAGAAGCAAGAGGTAATAATACATTGCAACCGATGAACTGCAACTACAGCATTCTTGTTTTTTAATGTTTATTTATTTTAGTTTACTTGAAAGGCAGAGAGAAAGCTTGGGAAGCTTCAACCAGGCCTGGACTAGGTGTAATCCAGGAACCTAGAACTCCATCCGGGCCTTCCAAATGGTGCAGGGGCCCAAGCACTGCCCCCCAGGGTACGCATTGGCAGGAAGCTGGATTGGAAGTGGAAGAGCCAGCCGGACTGGACTTGAACTTTGCTATGGGATGCCCGAGCTAACATTTAACCAACACCTGCCCCTAAAGCAAATAGTCTCACCTGATGCTACTTCTTGCTGGGCGTGGCTCCTCTTGATCTGTTTGCTAGGACACAGGGTGGAGCCACCACGTGGGCCTCTAGCGAAGGGAGGAGGAGGCAATGGGGCTCCCACGCCAGGAAGTGCGACTGGTCCCAGAGAAAGCGTCTGCACTGCTCTTAGCATTCTTCTGCCAACACGCCTGGTCTGCTTGGCTTCCTGCTTCCAGAACAACGCCCCACACTTAGCGCGGCACCCAGTCAACTCCCGATAAACGCCTGTGGAGTGGAGGAAGTGGAAGCGCCTGGCCACGCCCACTGCGGCCTCAGCGCAGGCCCCACCTGCTCCTGACCGCTCTCTGGAGCGTTGCCTCTCCAACCCCACTCTCCTCGGATCAGCTGTAGGCTGGCTCCAGGGGGACACAGGGCACCAGAGAAGAGCAAGAAGACCACAAACGCACAGCTGAGGGCCCAGCGGCTCTACGGGAGCCGTGCGCTGTTGCTTGGCCAAGCAGCTGAAACCTGCAGGGAGGCCCACGTTTTGTCGTCCCAACATCTTTGCGAGCTGAGTCTCAAAGATCACACAAGCACTGCACAGGGGAGGAACGCGCAAGCCCTGAGCAGCCCGCAGAGAGCCACAAGGGTAGCAAGGAACTGGACTGGGCTCCGGCCGGCCTGTCCAGCTCCAGTGAGCAGCTGAACCCGAGTCATCAGACACTTCTGGACTATTTCTGAATCAAACATCTGGCCCCGTGGAGCCTTCCTAGGGCTGCACTCCGCAGAAGGTGCCCAGACTTCTAAAACATGGAGTTAAGGCAGGGGCTCCCTCCTCCGGGGGCTTTATCCTCTCCACCGCCTCCCTGCCGTGCAAGGTGAGGCCCATGGCGCTCAGCAGGACCTCGCTTTCCCCATCTGTGAGATGGGGACGACAGGACCAGCGCCACGGCTCACTGGGAAGATTGAGTGAGGCCACCAGAGGGGCGCCAGCACACAGAGCCGGGCTCAGCGCGGGCCGTTGCTGCCGTGGTGCTGAGAGCCAGGAAGGCACTGGCAGCTCTGGCATGTGGAGGGCGCCCGTGGCCGAGCGGCTCCAACGAGCCCCCTGGCTGACTGTGAATATTACTGTTTTCCCCTAAGTCGTACTATCAGCAATGCTTGTCTCTAAACAAGATTCCACATTTTTTTTAAAATATAATTTAATTTACCCATGAATTCCATATACTCTCATCCCATCAACCTCCCCACTTTGGCACACATGTTCCCTTGCTAGCATTTTCATTAGTGGATGTTAAATGTTCCCTATTCTTGTTCTCTCGGGACTCCACTTTTTCTCTAGTTAGTGTGCATATATCACTTTAATATTTTTTTTCTTTAAAGAGTTGTGGTTTTTTGGTTTGTTTTCTAGGGGCACTGTGGCACAGCAGGTTAATCTGCAGTGCCGGCATCCCATATGGGCACCGGTTTGAGTCCTACCTGCTCCACTTCCGATCCAGCTCCCTGCTAATGCACCTGGGAAAGCAGTGGAAGATGGCCCAAGTGCTTGGGCCCCTGCAACCACATGGGAGACCCGGATAAAGTTCCTGGCTCCTGGCTTTGGCCTGGTCCAGCCCTGGACATTGCAGCCATTGCAGCCATTTGAGGAGTGAACCAGCAGATGGGAGAGCACTCTGTGTCTCTCCTCTCTCTCTCTGTAACTCTGCCTTTCAAGTAAATAAATCTTTTTTTTAAAAAAAAGAGTTCCCAGGGCCGGTGCCGTGGCTCACTTGGTTAATCTTCCACCTGCAGTGCCGGCATCCCATGTGGGTACCGGTTCTAGTCCTGGTTGCTCCTTTTCCAGTCCAGCTCTCTGCTGTGGCCCGGGGAAGGCAGTGGAGGATGGGTCAAGTGCTTGGGCCCCTGCACCCAAATGGGAGACCAGGAGGAGGCACCTGCCTCCTGGCTTCAGATCAGCGAAGCACCGGCCATGGCGGCCATTTGGGGAGTGAACCAACAGAGGAGGACCTTTCTCTCTGTCTCTGTCTCTCTCACTGTCTATAGCTCTGCCTGTCAAATTAAAAAAAAAAAAGTTCTCTCCAGGGAGGTAAAGGTAATCCCCAAGGAAGGGAGGCAGGGAAAGAGATCCCGACATGTGGAAACAGGAGAGATGCCTGTGGGGCCTCCAGAGGTGCTCTGGGGGCAGCAGTGGGACGTGGGGGCTATACTAGGGGTGGGTGCAGAGCACCCCTCTCCCTGACCAAGCGCCGCCTTCCCCGCTCAGTCCTGGGAGCGGTCACTTCACAGGATCTGCCTAGAAAGGAGCTGGCAGTGCGGGCAAAGAGTGAAGGCGGGGCCGTGATGGAAGAGGTGGGGAGGCCAGAACAGGAAGTCACTTCGCAGAGAGGAAGTCCTGGCCACGCTGGGCGTCTGTTCTCAGTGAATTTCCACTGAGTGAACCTCAAGGTAGTCCCTGGAGCAGAGCACCACTGACCTTGGGGCTGAATATACCCTGGGGGGAGGGGCTGTCCTATCACCGCAGGTACAGTGTTCCCACCAGGCACCAGGAGCAGCTGCAAGCCCACGGACAGCCACGGGGAACTGTGACAGGAGGGGCTGGTTCTGGAGCCACCGGGCTAGATGGTGATGTCAGATAACTTTCAAACCTCTGGCACTTACTATAATCATCCCCCTACCTTTTTGGGGTTTTTTTCCAGAAAGAGAATGCCTTAGGTTGAGAGCTTTCTCAAGCAACTGTGTCTAGCTACGTTTTAACAATACTGTTATGTGTAACCACGGAAAACACACTAGGAGGTTTAGGGGGCAGAAATCAACATTCGATCTTTCATCGAAGGCTCTTCCCAGAGGACCTACAGTGTCCCAGGCAATGAAGGTTCTGGGTCCCCGTTTCAGGGAGATGAGATCCAAGTGAAGGTCAAAGAGACTTTGAAGGGGGAGAAACAACGACTGCTGGACCCGCCTGGGAGGGAGACCGGGTGGAATTCCTGGTTCTCAGCTTTGGCCTGGACCAGCCCAGCTGTTGTGGCCATTTCCATTAGATGGAAGAGACCTCTCCCCCTCTCTCTACATCACTCTGCCATTCAAATACATAAATGATTTTTTAAAATAACTTCAACATTCCTGGTTGTTTGCAGCTTGAAAGTTGTCAGGGGTCAAGTGGTGCAGCAAGTGAGGTCGCCACCTGCAGTGCCTGCATCCCATATGGGCACCGGTTCAAGTCCCGGCTGTTCCACTTCCAATCTAGCTCCTTGCTAATGCACCTGAGATAACAGTGGAAGATGGCTCAAGTGCCCAAGTGCTTGGAGCTCCTGGCTCCTGGATTCAGCCTGGCCAGCCCAGCCATTGCAGCCATCTGGGGGAATGAACCAGTGCATGGAAGATCTCTATCTCTCCTTCTCAAATAAATTAATAAATAAGTACTTTTAAAAAATAAGAGATTGTGAATCTGTTAACAAAATCTCTAAGATGCTTTCATTTTATATTTGTGGGAGTCATGACTTTCCCTTTTCAAATTATATTTTCAAGGGCAGGCGATTAGTCTTGTGGTTAGAATGCTGATTAAGATGCCTGCATCGGAGCTGGCCCTGCAGCGCCGGCATCCCATACGAGCGCCAGTTCGAGTCCCGGCTGCTCCACTTCTGATCCAGCTCTCTGCTAATGCTCCTGGGAAAGCAGCAGATGGCCCAAGTGCCTGGGCCCCTGCCACCCATGTGGGAAACCAGATGAAGCTCTGGGTCCTGGCCTTGGCCTGGTCCAGCTCTGTCCATTGTAGCCATTTGGGGAAGTGAACCAATGGATGGAAGGCCTATCCTTCCCTCTCTCTCTGTAACTCTAAATAAAAATAAGCCTTAAAAAAAAAAAAAAAGCCAAGTACCGATACACAGAGACGCAGAGATTTGTTATCATGCCTAAGTAGGACGGTTTAGATTTTCTGAGTCAAAGAGAAGGAACAGCAACAGCCTCTTCCCCTCAGCTTATTTTACCCCCAGATTAAACCTTGTCAAGGTCTCATCCAATTGCACTCTAAGCCTCCCAATCAAATATCACACCCAGATGGGGTAAGTGGGGTCCACGGTATACATTTTTTTTTTAAAAAATTATAATTTGAGAGGTAGAGTTACAGAGAGAGGCAGAGAGAGAGACAGAGAGAGAGGTCTTCCATCTGCTGGTTCACTCCTCAAATGGCTACAACAGCTGGAGCTGGGCTAATCCCAAGTAGGAGCCAGGAGCTTCTTCCCGGTCTCCCACGTGGGTGCAGGGGCCCAAGCACTTGGGCCATCTTCCACTGCTTTCCCAGGCCACAACAGAGAGCTGGATCAGCAGACGAGCAGCCAGGACAGAAACCATCGCCCATATGGGATGCTCAGCCACAGCCCCACATTTCACCCAGCCCAAGTGTTGAGCTGGGACTTCATCTAACCATGAACCCATCCATTCCCGATTTATCATCTACCTTCTAATGTTGTTTCTAGACTTTCATCTGATGACACGTGCAGGATTTCCTCTCGGGCGTGGTGACCTGCTGAGCTGTGAACAGGCTGGCTGTGGGAGCTTCCTGTGGACGTGCGGATGTGTCAGCACCCTCCGTGGTGCGGTTTCAGTCAGCTGCCACCTGGTTCAACCTGGCGTGGGTGAGACACAGTGGAACGTGGCACCACCTTCCCCACATGCATGACGGACTCCGGGGGTCCCCACTTAAGGCAGACAGGAAAGGTCAAAGAGTTTACTCTTCGGGGTCAGCGCTGTGGCACAGTGGGTTAATCCTCCATCTGCGGCACCAGCACCCCATATGAGCACAGTTCTAGTCCCGGCTGCTCCACTTCCGATCCAGCTCTCTGCTGTGGCCTGGGAAAGCAGCAGAAGTTGGCCCAAGTGCTTGGGCCTCTGCACCCACGTGGTGGATACCTGAAGAAGCTCCTGGCTCCTGGCTTCGGATAGGCACAGCTCCAGCTGTTGCAGCTATTTGGGGAGTGAACCGGCAGATGGAAGACCTGTCTCTGTCTCACTGTCTGTAACTCTACCTGTTAAATAAATAAATAAAATCTTATTTTTTTTTACTCTTGTAAGTTAGCGTGTAGGCAACTGTTGTGGCACAGCAGGTTGGGCAGCACTTGGGACCCACACATCCCATATCAGAGTGCCTGTGGGAGTCCCAGCAGCTCCACTGGTGACCCGCTGCCCACCAACGCATCCTGGGAGGCGGCCGATGATGGCTCCTGCCCTTGACTTGGGCTGTCCAAATGGAGGAGGGGGGATTCCAGGCTCCTGCCCTTGACTTGGGCTGTCCAAACGGAGTTCCAGGCTTCTGGCTTCAGCCTGGCTGTTTGGGGCATCTGAGGAGTGAACCAACAAATGTTAAGATCTCTCTCTCTCTCTCTTCCTTTAAAGGAGATAAACATGGATCAAAAGTCACCGAGAAAGTAAAAAGTGTGTAACCAACACCAGCTTGAGAATCCCCTAACCTCCTGTGTATCAAAACACAGCTTTGAACGGAGCCAGGACGGCGACCTCAGGGGACAGGTGGATAGCTCGCCCATCAAAGAGCAAGTTCTGTGGTTGCTCTGGTTACTCGTTGCTCCATAAGCTTAGACAGACAGCTGTGCCTGTACTGGAGGCCCAGCTGCCCTTCAAGAGCTGCCTCCAAAGACCAGGCCTGAGACTCGACACACACCTGCACGCAGTATAGACGCAGGGAAAACAAAGGCAAACACGCCCAAAAACATCAAGCCTTCGTCCTAGCCACCCCTCAAGTAACAATTCACCCTAGAGAATTCAAGTGCCAGTGACGCCGAGAGGAGGGCATTTAGCCTAGCAGTTAAGACGCCCACGTCCCACATCCATTCCCACCTTTGGTCCCCCCAGTGCAGGCCGTGGGAGGCAGCAGTGAGGGAGTGAATAACTCCGTTCCTGCCAGCAGCCCTAGACCCTGGGATTCTTGGCTCCTGGCAGCATCCGGGACCATTGTAGGTACATTGCAGATGGGAGCTCTTGTCTCCCTCTCAAAGCGAAAAATAAGGAGAAAAAAAAAAGCTACTCCACACAGATGATAAAAAGTATTTCCATATTCACTTGGCAGCACAGATGCGAACTCTGGGATGGGGGTGATTAGCACAGGCCTTATGTGAGCACGGCAGGGAAATTCCGAAAGTGTTCCGTGTTTGTGAAAAAAGCAGAGGAAAAGTGCACTGTGTAGCTACCGCTGACTCGGCGTCCCTCTCACACACAGGTCTTTAACACATCTGTCAGAAGCGGGCTCACCCTGGAACGGTGTCCACGCAGGCGAGGGGAAAATGTTTTGCAGGCGTGAAATATTTCCCAGACCTGACACCTAAACTGTGGTTTGGAGTTGCGTGGGGCCAGGTCGTGCTGGTTTAGATAAGAACTTCCTCTCCAGTTATCTGGATTCAATCAAGTTTGCCAACTCTGTGGCTTGTTCACCCCACCTTGAGTGAAAACGGAAATACTGGCCGTGGGTTGAGGGGGACCCACCTGCTCTGGCAGCTGACACACAGAGACCAAGAATGGAGTGCCTAGCTCTTCCCTCCGGTGTGGCAGCCTCCACCCACCACGCGCTGTCTGGAGGCCTGATGGTGGTGGTGGGCTAGACATCTACCTGGTCCCACCCTTGTATCTGCCCACTGAGCACTTTCTCCAACAACCTCTCCTTGCAGCTTTCAACCCACTCCCTTTTTAAATAAAATTGTATTGTGGCTAAGAGCACTTAAGATGAGATCAACACTTTTTTTTTTTTAAATTAGGGAATGAATGAATAAATCTTAAAATAGGGAGGTGAACACAAAGAGGAACATGCGTCTGTTGTTTCACTTCCTAATGCCCAGGGCTGGGCCAGGCCGAGTCCAGGAGCTAGGAACCAGGCCCAGGCTGAACCAGGAGCTAGGAGCTCAACGCCACGTCGGTGGCGGGGCACTCAGCTGCTTCAGCCACCACTTGCTGCCTCCCATGGTGCACCTTAGCAGGAAGCTGAACTGGGCGTGGAGTGGGAACTCAAACCCAGGCACTCTCATATGGGATGCATCCTAACAGCTGGGCCAAACACCTTCTCTGTTCCTCTGAACAAACTAAGCACACGGTACGTTAACTGTAGGTATAAAAGTTAAGCGGCCTATCTACAGAGCTTAACCATTTTACGATGCCCAGCTTAGCCCCTGCCCTTCTAAGCAGCCTGGGACGGTAGAAACTGAGTGCTCTCTCTGCCAACAACTCCTGTGAGGTTAGACTGGGGGAAGACGCGGGGAGTCCAGGGACCCGTCAGACAAGCAAATCCTCCCTGGAGATCATACTGACCGAACGTTCACGCTTAGAAGTCCCAGAAAAACTTACAGTACACGTCAGGTGGGAAAAAAAAAAACATTCAAATTTTATTTTCCAACAAACAGACAAGCATCAGCAGGTACAACTCCAGGGGTGTCTCTGTAGATCTTACATTCACAAGGCGTCATTAGCTCAACAGTGAGCGCCACTGGCGTGTTCTCTGTAACATCCGCTTCACAGTGTAAACAGCAATCGTCATTGTGTTCACTTACAATTCCAGAAGGAAAGGCACAACTTGGCAAAACGTTTGGATCCTAAAGTCAGGTGCAATAACTAAGAGGAACTCTGGGTAACAGTCCTGATCCACGTGTCCAAGAGGGTCTCCTCCCCCAGGATGAGAGGGTCTTCCTCTTTGCTTGCTAAACCAACGGAGCAACGTCTCAACACCAGCTCCGTGTCACTACGTGGACAAGAGGGGGGTTAAAAAAAAGGAATCACGAAAGTCCAGCTGCTCCCACCAACGTCAACCGTTCGGCTTAAAGACAGGACCTGGGAATACTTCAGTGGTCATAAAATAGGAAAATAGACTATGGCTACAAAAATAAAACATAAATGAGGTAGATAAATTAAAGCTTTTACACCCAGGACTCGCCTGTTCCAACTTCGTAGCCTTCATGCAATACTCAGAGGGAAAAAAAAAAATCTTCATAATTACTTGGCATAAGTCGCATCAAGGAAAACAAAACAAAACAAAAATCAGTATGTGAGCCCGTGATAGGAAACATTTCCTTCTCTGAGTTTAAGAATGAAACCCCAGGGACTTCTCAACCGACCCGGCACCAGGGAACTGCATGGAGTCGGTGGAGACCGCCCACTCAGGCGCCCACCCCTTCTGGGGTGTGGGAGGACTGAGACACCTGGGCAGCGTTGGCATTACAAGGGAACTCCTGGGGCTCCACGGGAACTGTATTTAAATAAGCAGCAACACACACGTTGACTCCCTAAGGCCCAACATCTGTCCATTTAAGGACATCCTACATAAGGTTCTAAGGCTGAAGGAATTTTGGAATTCTACAACCTTAGTTTCTTTGTTCATTTGTTTTAAGTTACATTCAAAAAGCAAACCAAAAGATGGGGGTATACAGTGGGAGGGTCTGGAAACAGATGACAGACCTTGTCCATCTGCCCACCTGCCCACCTACAGTTGCCCCGCCCCCACACCAGGCGGCACAGTTCTCTTCACTGTGGTTGAGTAAGCTCCAACCTGAAACAGGTCAGTCTTTGGAAATAGTCGTTCTAGGTTGTACAAAAGGTTCTAGGTTGTACAAAAGGTTCTACATGTGGCGCAAGTAACAGAGCTACTTTGCAAGACCCGCTTCTTTCCAAAATTAAAAAACAATTCTAGTCTATTTGTTTTGGTATGATTTTTTGTTTTTGGACTTTTTCACTTTTTGCAAAGCAGCATGGCATCGCTGTTGATTGTAGGACTGCCTGAGGTTGCGGTCACAACCGTAAACATCATTTGCATGTCAGTAAGCAAAAAAGAAAACAGGGGAGGAGATGGAACAAATAAATGCTAGGATTGCCCTGTCTGTACTTCCTCCAGGCCCGGTCCCCTGAGCTTAGCTGACTGCGATCTTCTTCTCTTCCAGGAAATGAGGGAACTGGTGTTTGGCTACGCCGTCGGCGGCTCCCGGCTTCTCCGCGTCGGCACTGATACCCGACTGGGAGCCATCGAGCTTGGAGACAGTGGCGTTACTCACGACGGAGCTGGCCCCCAGGGAGACGGGCAGGGTGGGAAGGCCGCCGCTCTGGATCACGGAGATCTCGTTGGTCTTCACAGCCATGCCACCGTTGAGCATGCTGGTGTACTGGGTCCACATGACAGGGTCCACGTTCACCGACGGGGCCAGGATTTCCTTGGGAAACATTTCCGAGACTCTCTTCCCGTCGGTACCTAGCAGCGCCATGGTGTTCTCAATGGCCAGCTTCCTCCCACGGCGCGCCGAGTTATTGTTCGCCCCGTGCGTCATGTAGTGCACCTGCAGGAACAGGACATACAGGCTCTCAGCAAAACAGAGATGCTGCCGCCGCTGCCGCCGGCTGCAGTCCACGTACGGATTCTACCCAAACAGGGTGCTGGCAACGTGGTCCTTCTCACCACGCATGCAACTACAGTCTGCATTATGAATTTCAGTAACATGCTAAACATGTAGAGAGCACGCCCACCTTTGAGAGCAGGCACCAGAGGCTGCACAGGAAGCAGACACCACTTAACCTGGGGCAGCAGGCACAGCAAGGCCGCTCCTCATTGAGACTCAACTCACCTCAGGCTCTTTCGCGTGCTGCTTTCCCCAGCCGCCTCCCTGCCTGACTGAAGTTTTTCAAACCCTTCCTGGCTTCATTAAGCTTAAATACTGGGGGCCAGCATTGTGGTCCAATGGGTTGGTTCAGCCACTGCCTGTGACCCTGCCATCCCATGAGCCTACGGCGCAGGTTCGAGTCCCTGTTGCTCCACTTCTGATCCAGCTCCCTGCTATTGAGCCTGGGAAAGCAGCGGAAGATAGCTCAAGAGAGCTCGGGCCCCTGCCATCTGGGTGGGAGTTCCAGGCTCCTGGCTCAGCCCCGGCTGTCGTGGCCATCTGGGGAGTAAACCAGCAGGTGGGAGATCTTTCTGTCAACGCTGCCTTTCTCAAAACATTAATAGATTTTTAAAACATACAAGAAAAAAAAGTTTCAAAACTCATAATATGCTAGGTGCCAGGCTTCTCGGGCATTTTATCTTGATTGACAGCCTTACAGGTTGGCAGCTGCCACTCATCTGATTGGACAGACGTACGCAGTAGCCTGAAAAAGCCGTTAGCAACTACAGAGTAAGAGGCTCCAGGTAACAAGCACTTGGTCGTGTTCCAGGCACGCGCCATCACTTCCTGAATACAACTCATCAATTTTCAAACAACCCTGGACCCGTCAATGCCATTAACCGTGTGGCTGGGAAAGCCAAGGATGCTCACCGAACCACCTGCCCAGAGTCCCCCGGGTCCAGCATCAGGCGCTCCCGGGCCCGGGAGTCAATGAAGCTCTAGAAATGAGCATTAGAGACCAAGCTACTTCACGGTCCTCCTCTGATGCTTTTGCCAAGTAGGGTTAAAAAACTTTAAAGGACATGGCTTTTGTCATGTGTATATATTAGCTTTTAAGGTGATATAATCTTATAGGTCCAGGCTAAAATGAAGCTTCTATCTTTATCCCAACTGTAAAGAACTCTGCTAGTCTACCATTGGCAAGCTGAAAACATTCAGAGCAATGTGCCTTGCTCAAGGTTACAGAAGCAAACTGGAGGCAGGGCCAGGACACAAACCCAAGTCCCTACTTCCCATCCTGTGTTCCTGGATGGGTGTGGGTGGGAGACTAATGAAATCCGCCTACCCTAACAATAATGGCAACACAGAGACCCCTTCTGGAAGGACCCAGCAGCTGTTTAAGCACAGCTGTTACCTAGAGTCTTTAACTCCAGGGGTTATTGTACCACACACGTTTATTTCAATGTAGCAGGCTGGGCAAAAAAAAAAAACGAACAGAGTTCAGCTCCATCACAAACACCAGTCCACAGACGGTTGGTGGTACCACGACGCCTGGTCGCACTGTGCTTCATTCTCCATCATCTACAGGCCTTCAACACTGGACAGGAACTACCCTTACTGGACTCACAAAGAGACAAGAGCTGACAGCAAACCACGTCCTGCTTCCAGACTGAGTCGCTCGGAAAATGCACCCTTACTCTCTAAGTTGGCGTTGATTTACATTTACTTTTTTGAAAGGCAGAGATCTCCATCCACTGGTTCACTCCCCAGATGCCTGCAACAGGTGGGCCTGGGCCAGGCTGAAGCCAGAAGCTCAGAACTCAATTCAAGTCTCCCACGTCAGGGGCAGGGACCCAAGCCATCACCTGCTGCCTCCCAGGGTGCACTACCACAGGACGCAGCCAGGTCTCGAGCCCAGGCACTCCGATATGGGGGACAGGTGTCCCAGCCACGGCACTAAACGCTGCCCTGCTGCTCAATAAATATTTATTGACTGATAAAAACAAGTATGTGCTTAAAGAACAGGAGCAAGAGTTCTAACCAGGTCTGCCCCAAAACTGTGCATTATTTTATGTGCCACTGAGATTAGAAACAAACCATCACCGATTACAGATCCGATGCTTTCTCCTCCCACACACTGTTAATAAGCAACACAACCCGAGACGTCCTAATGTGACAAAGCGCACGTTTCCAAAGCCAGCTCAGCGGTCAGACTAGACATCCGGCTGATGTAACCTGAAGAATTCATCCAGTACCGAAAACCTCAGCCCCACCACGGCTCGGGCGAGGGGAACCCACCTTCAGGTTGCCCTTGGTGGTGAACGCACGGCCGCAGATGTTGCACACAAAAGGCTTCTCGCCGGTGTGAGTCCGCTCGTGGATCTGCAGAGCGCTGGCGGACGAGAAATTCTTCCCACACCGTGTGCAGCCGTGCTGCTTGGCCTGGCGGCGCGGCTGGGCCACCAGCAAAGGCGTCGTGCCTGGGGACAGGGTTGAGGGACCCACAAACGGGCCAGGAACTTCAACCTTGACATAGGTGGGCTGGGTTCGGATGAACGTTGATGGGAGACTGCTCCGACCTGGTTGCGTGGAAGGGGAGAAAACCCAAACCTTTATCATCCAACACTCCTTCGCTCCTGCGACCAAAACCACACACTGCCCGCTACTTTTGAGAACCTGGAGGTGGCTCTGAGGCCCTGAAAAACAGCTGCCTCTGAACTGTGGATCTGCACGAAGAATGGAGGTGCTGGGAAAACTGTCTGTTTTAGGGTTTGCATAAAGGTGTGGGCACCAAGGAAACACGATGCAATTCTCGTGTCTGTGTGAGGGTGCCTTTAGAGGACGCCCACACGCCAGCTTTCTGGGATTCTGTGAAGCAGCTGCGACCCTACCCTGCCAGGAGCGGCGTCTGCAGGTGCCACCCTTGCCGTGTGCACTTACTATGTGCTTCTCTCCACAGGGGATTCATCGTGAATATGGGGGGGGGCCTCGGAACCCAGGAGCGAGCAGCTCATCTCAGTGGCCAAAGAGCAGTGCCCACCCCTCAAACATACTCCTATTGTGGGGCCCGCACGGTGACGCAGCAGGTTAAGCTGCCACGTGGGATGCCGGCATCCCAGCCAGGAGCACCGCGTGGAGTCCAGCTACTGTGCTTTGGATCCAGCTTCCCAATAATGTGGCTGGGAAAGCAGCAGCAATGGCCCAAGTATTTGGGCTTTGCCACCCATGTGGGAGACCCAGAGGGAGCTCCCGGCTTCAGCCTGGCCTAGCCCCAGCTGTTGGGCCATTTGGGGGAGCGAACCAGTGGATGGAAGATCTGTCTCCCTCCCTCCATCCGTCCCTCTCTGTTGCTCTGCCTTTCAAATGAGTAAACCAAAACCCTGTATTGGAATTTAGTTAGGATTACCCACGTGCACCTGTGGGGCTCAAAGACCAAAAGCCTGCTGAGCCCCCTGCATTAACCACCATAAGCAAGTTCATCATCAGGATAGAGGCAGCTACTCCTCCCCTCCACCCGAGTAGACAAGCTAGTTGCCCTAGAGGGGCTCCTTCAGCCCGTCCTCTCCGTGTGCCAAGTTCACCCTACGTTCCTTTCGGACATAAGCGAAATCCAAAGCTCTATCACCTTCCATCTCGGAGCTCTCAGCTCTGCTCCCGGCATCGGGAGACCTGGACTTGACGCTCTCGGCTTGGCTATTGGCCGGGGAGGGCGCCTGGAAGGAGGCGGACTCCGCGGCGTCGGGGCTTCGGCTCTGATACTCCGGGTCTTCTATCAGCGAGGACGAGTCGTTGGTCAGGCCGTCGCTCTCCACCGAGCCGTTCTCTCGGCTGCTCTGCCGCTGCAGGCCGAGAGGGGCGGCCCCCGCCTTCCCCGCGGCGTCCAGGGAGGCCCGCACGGGGAAGCCCAGCGTGGGGGAGGCCGAGTGCACGCCGGGAAGGGGTGCGGGGACCTTGGAGGAGCCACTGGGCACATCTTGGAGGCTGACTTCGTCCAGGTCGACGCCCTCACTGTCGTCGTGGCAGGCGGCGCCCGGCGCGGGCTCGGGGCCCGTGAAGTCACAGGGGCCCTCGGGCAGCGGCGTGTTGGGGATCTGGCCGCCCATGTGCATGCGGATGTGCTGTTGCAACAGGACGGCGTTGGTGAACTTCTTCTGGCAGATGGGGCACGAGTGCTGCGTCTTGACGGCGGGGTTCGTCCGGTGCACCCCGAGGTGCGTCTTCAGGTTGCCCTTGGTGGAGAAGGCCCGGCCGCACACCTTACACTGGAAGGGCCTCTCCCCGGTGTGGGTGCGGTAATGCATTTTGAGGGAGCTCTGGCAGCTCAGCACTCGGTGGCAGATGAGACATTCGTTGGGGTCGGTGGTGGCCTTGTCGATGTTCTCCACCAGCTGCTGCAACTTCAGGGTCTCCGACCCTGGCTCGGGGACCGCACTCCCTTGGAAGCCACCAACCCTGGGGGAGATGTGGTTGGGCCCCACCCCGGCTAGCGCGAGGCCACCCTCGCTTTCTGGGGAAGGCCCTGGCGGCTGCAGGTCGCTGGGCAGCGGGGCCCCCAGGAGGTCCTTGGGGTTAGTCCCCGACGAGAGGTTCTGAGGTAGCCCTACGGAGGGGGCGCCTGTCGCGAGGACGGGCTTGCTATCTACCGAGAGACTCGCTCCGTCTACCGGGACGGGGACCGAGAGCGCAAAGGGGACGCCAGAGCCTGCCGCCACTTTGTCCTGGAACTCGGCAAACAGCTGGGGGTTGGCCTTCACCTGGGGGTGTCGGTGAAAGTGCACTTTGAGGTTGCCCTTGGTGGTGAAGCGATGACCACAGACAGAGCACACGAAGGGTCTCTCTCCGGTATGGGAGCGGAGGTGGATCTGCAAGGAGCTATCAGTCCCAAAAACCTTGCTACAGTACTTACACTTGTGCTTGCAGAGGCCGGTCTCATCTTTGGTTTTGACGTCCACCGCGGACACGCTGGGGGGCTTGCCCTTGCCCTTCTTGGACGGGTCTAGCGCCACGGTGGAGAAGGGGCCCTGGAAGAGCGCAGGGCCCGGGGTCTGAGGTAGCAAAGCGCTCGGGAGGCGAGACATGACACTGGGCAGCACCCGGGCCCCGTCCGGCTTCAGGGCGAAGGGCGTGAGCCCCGAGGACAGGGAGCCGGCGGCCGACGGGATGCTGGCGTGAGGTAGCTTGCCTTGCTTCAAAGCCTCCAGAGACAGACCCTGGCTGCCAGCTTTCTGGCTGAGCAAAGCCACAGCCGCCGACACCTGCTGGGACACGTGGCCGCCTAAGGTCTTCAGGGCGTCGGCCCCGGCCACGCCCGAGTGCAGGGCGTGCGAGGCCCACATGTTCACCTGGATGCGGATCTGCTCGGTGAGCTGGATCTGCTGCAGCTGCTGCTGCTGCAGACACAGGATCTGCTCCAGCACCCACGGGATGCTGTTGGCGCCGGGCACCGGGGCCGGCGGCGCATCCGCGCTCCGCTGGTTCACCGCCACCTTGGTGCCGCGGAGCGCCTGCAGAGTCACGTTAGTGCTGGCCACTTTGCCTTTGGGTACATAGCTTATGTCCTGTGGTGGCGGGGGCAGGGTGGTCTCCGCCTTCAAGTGGACAACAGACTCCGCGCCCAGCTTCTCCTTGGTGTCCCCCGAGCTGCCGCCGCTCTCCCTGTGACTGTCCCTGCCGCCGGGACTGAGGACTGCTCCGGAGAAGTCTTCTGAAGGCACTGGCCCCTCGCTGTCGCTCATGATGAGGACAGGTGGATTTTTAGTGCAATTTTTCTTATGCTCCAAGAACTCGGAGAGGCTGAAGAACTCGGCACAGCACTTCTCACAGATGTGCGTCTCCTCCCGGCGCGGCCGCTTTCCAGGCACTCTGTCCCCGGGCGCGTCATCGCCAGTCCCCGGCTGGTTCATTGCAGCACCTGCAACAAGAGAAAGAGCTCAGAATCCCGCCCACCAGGAGATCTGGGACAGCTTCCGGGGAGAACCCACCCACTCACAAGGCAACACGTCTCCATTATCTACCCACAAACAAGCGGAAGATGACGCAGGGGGAACAGTCACCCAAGACTCTGAACGAACTAACCCTTAGGTTGTAGGTGGAATTCTCAACGTGCTCTGAACTAACACAAGGCCAAGTCCTAACCCTTGACAGACAGCACTTTAAGTGGGGCCCCCAAATTCAATGCCTAGAGTACTCGCAAGAGATAGGGAAGCAGGGCCGGCGCTGTGGCACAGCCACCTGTGGTGCCAGCATCCCACATGGGCGCAGGTTCAAGTCCCTGCAGCTCCACTCCACTGCTGCGGCCTGGAAAAGCGGTGGAAGACGGCCCAAGTCTTTGGGCCCTTGCACCCACATGGGAGACCTGGAAGGAGGCTCCTGGCTCCTGCCTGGCCCAGCTCTGGCCCTTGCAGCCATTTGGAAGTGAACAAGCAGATGGAAACCCCCACCCCCCACCCCGTAACTCTTTCAAATAAATAAAATAAAATCTTTTAAAAAAAATTTTACAAAGGGGGAGGGGAGAAGACACATGAAGGCAGAGACGGGGGTCACAGGGCTGGAAACTGAGGGCTGCTGGGAGCCAACAGAAGGCGCCAGGGTCAATTCTCCCCGAGAGCCTCCAGAAAGAGCCAGCTGGCTTCTGGGACAACGAGAATGAACTTGCGCCGTTACCGACCATCCAGGTAGCGGCAGCTACATCAGCCCTACACACACACAGTGCACAGGACGTATTAGGCAATGCGCATCCAAGGTGCCAGAAACAAGGCTGGCTGTTCCAAAGGCAAAGACAGCGCCAGAAACATCTCTGCCCATGGGAAAGCACTGGGGGGAAGGATGGCCGTAGGAAAAGACTGCGCTAACCTTCCCGATTATGAAAACCCACGGCACTGTCTCAACAGTTAGGACATGGATGGGAAAATAAGTCGTTCCATCCAGAGAGAAGCCAGGGATAGGACTCACGGATCCCAGGAGCCCTCTGTGTCTTGATTCCACCTCTCTGAAATGAGACAAGGCTGGTCCCCAACTTCTGACTTTGACTTTATGATGGTGCGACAGCAACACGCAGTCAGTGCTCACTGTGGGTGCCATCTGGAATTCTGATCTTTTCCCAAGCTGACGATGTGTCTGCTGGGACTCCAGGACTGCCCGACACGAGGGAGGGACAGCACCAGCACTCTGTGTGCCTGTAGGACGCCCGAGGGGGAGGCGCGCTCTCTCGGCAGAAGGAGTGCCTTACACAAAACTCAGTCCTGCTCTGAGCCAAGTTCCTTTCTGAAATTTGGCCGGTGGATTTCTTCTGTAGCTGGGCCCGGTTCATTGTGTTAACTCCTGGCCTGGACCGTGCCTGAGGCCTGGGTCTCAGGAATAGGAGCCCGCAGGACAGGCTCACTAAGCTGCTTCGCCGCTCCCCACCCCTGCTGCCCCGCTCCGTACACTTGCCTACTAAGAGAAGGCCGTGCAGGGTAAGGCACCACCTACAACAGTGGCTGCGCTGCTTCTGACCCAGCTCCCTGCTAATGTACCTGGGAAGGCAGAAGATGATCCAAGTCCTTGAACCCCATGCACCCATGTGGGTAACCTAGAGGAGTTCCAGACACCTGGCTTCAGCCTGGCCCAGCCTTGGCCACTACAGTCATTTGAGGAGTGAATGAGAAGAATGAAGATCTCTGTCTCTCTCTTCCCAATAAATTAAAAAAAAAAAAAAAAAGGGCACTGGAGCTAAGGGCATCCTGAACAAAGGCCTAGACAGACCCCTATGCCTGTGAAATCTAAACCCCACAGGTATTTTCATGAGTACACAACAACCCATCAAGAAGGGTATTATTATGTTTTCTTTCTGACTCTCAAATAAATAAAAATTTTTCAAGTACATTTTGGTCTAGCTCACTATAAGCAAACTCAGGCAGAATTCCTGCCACAGAAGCCAGAAAAATGTAAACAGGTAGCAGAGGAGCATGCACAAAACAACCAGGCCAGCGTTGTGGCTTAGTGGTGAAGCCCCACTGTCCACAGCACTGGCATCCCATGTGCGCACTGGTTCGAGTCCCAGCCATTCCACTTCCAATCCAGCTCCCTGCTAATGCACCTGGGAAAGCACTGGAAGATGGCCCCAGTACTTGGGCCCCTCCACCTACATGAGAAACCCAGGAGAAGCTCCTGGCTCCTGGCTTCAGCCTGGCCCAGCCCCAGCCATTGCAGCCATTTGGGGAGTGAACCAGCAAATGGAAGACCCCTCTCTGTAACTCTGCTTTCAAATAAAAAATTATAAATCTAAAACGATAACAAGAAAATGACCACTTTTAGTTACAGTTCAACCTGTGCTTGAAATGCAAAAACACACGGGGCAAAGAAAGGCTTCCGGTGAAACCGCCGGCCGCCTCTCAAGCTGGTGACCGCACCTGTCCCCTCTGCTAACTTGTAAAGATCGCGGGGTTGACTGAAGGGGCTGCCAACAGTTTGCAGGAGGGGCTGGTCTTGAAAAAGCCTTAATAAGCTGACTTCATCGTGGCTCATTCAGGCTGAGCATGACCAGGAAGCCTCAGGTATGTGGGGATGGGGTGAGCCAGGGGAAGACAGATCCGGACTGCCAGGGTTACAGGTTTGACTTAGGGAGCGTAGGCACCACCCCACAACCCTCAAAGCAGAGAACACACAACCCTCACTTCCTGCTGTGTGCATGCAGGGGTGGGGTCCCGGGGTGGAGAGGGGAGCCAAACATCCTCCTCCAGTCCAGCCCCACGCAGCTCACTCCATCAGCCCCACTCACCAGAGGAAAGCTGAGCCCGAGCTCAGGCAGCTTGCTCAAGGAAACACAGCAGTGGAGAACTTGAGTGCTTACCCGCCAGGAGGCCTGGGAGCCAGACTGCCCCCCACGGGACACCTGCATGAAGCACCCGGTTCCTGGCTTCAGCCTGGCCCAGTGAGGACATCCGGGGAGTGAACAAGCAGATGGAAGGTCTCTGGAACTATGACTTTAAAAATAAACAAACATCTTCAAGAAAAAAAAAGGGGGGGGGGGGGCACGCTGTGGCCTAGTAGGTTAAGCTACCACCCATAATGCCAGCACACAGGCACCGGTTTTTGTTTTAGTTTTTGTTTTGACAGGCAGAGGGGACAGTGAGAGAGACAGAGAGAAAGGTCTTCCTTTACTGTTGATTCACCCTCCAATGGCTGCTGCGGCCAGCGCATCGTGCTGATCCAAAGCCAGGAGCCAGGTGCTTCTCCTGGTCTCCCATGTGGGTGCAGGGCTCAAGCACGTGGGCCATCCTCCTCTGCACTCCTGGGCCACAGCAGAGAGCTGGCCTGGAACCGGGACAGAATCCGGCACCCTGACCAGGACTAGAACCTGGTGTGCCGGCGCTGCAGAAGGAGGATTAGCCTAGTGAGCCGCGGCGCCGGCCAACACAGGCACTGGTTTGAATCCTGGCTGCTCTACTTCTGATCCAGCTGATGCACCTGAGAAAGCAGAAGATGGACCAAGTGTTTGGGCCCCTGCACCCACATGGGAGACCCAGAAGAAGCTCCTGGCTTCAGCTTAGCCCAGCCCCACTGTTGTGGCCATATGGGGAGTTAACCAGCAGATGGAAGACCTTTCTCTCTGTGTAACTCTAAAAAAAAATAAAAGGCTGGGGCTGGGGGTCTGGCAGAGAAGGTAGAAAGTCTTGAGATGATCGCACCCCGTATCAGAGTGCCTGGGTGCAAGTCCTGGCTTCACCCCAATTCCAGCTTCCTGCTAACGTGTGCCCTGGGAAGCAGGGGGCGAGGGCCTGAGTCGCTGGGAGCCAGCCACCCTCTGGCCTGGTCCAGCCCCAGCTGTCGGGAGTATCCGGGAAGTGACCCAGCAGATGGGAAACCAATCCCTAGCCCTTCTCTGCCCTTCATATAAATGAAAACTAATAAAAATGTTCAAAAGTCCATGGAAATGGAATTAAAAGTTTATTTAAAAAACACCCGCACACCCACCCCAGGCCTGCAGCCCCCAAGGCCTCTATCTGACCCCTTCATGTTTCCATTTTTATCATGTTTCCCTACTTATCGTGTTTCCTGTAGGGATTGCAACTATCTTTCCTCTCAGACACCCTAACCGCAGTGGGAAGCCCGAGGGATCCGGCTACTTCCCAGGACAGACTAGAACACTCTTTGCTATCTTGTTTCTGGGACTTCCAGAGATTGCTTTAGGTGTTAGGATGTGATACACTTCGCTACTTCCAGGATGAGCTCAGAGGAGGCAGGCAGAAGGTAGGTAAGAAGTCCTTTCTCAAGGCTCCAATACCTCTCCTACAGGCCTGTCTCAAGAATCAAGCTGAAAGTGTGCATTAATTCCTAGAACCCTAGGATCTATCCCTCTGGGAGTCCCCGGCTCCCAGGCAGTACCAATGCGGGCCATCTCCCCAGTGTCGAAATGCAAGGCCTGCAGGGCTGTTTAAGGAGCTGGTTCTCTCTGAAAAGCAGTTTTGGCAATTATGTGTCAAGACATTTTTGGAAAGTTGCTCTCCAGGATATAAAGGATTGGTGAGTGCCAATGGATACAACCCGAGGGAGGGAGCACCCAGGGCGCAACACCTTCATTCTCCCCTCTGACTCAGCATTTCCTTTGTTCGGAATTCACTTCCTGAAATGCGAGGCTATTTCTTGCTGCATTTCTCATAGGGCACAACACAGATGGATACACCCTGGTCCATCCTCAGTCTGGTTACATAAATCTGGGTGGCTAGAAGAGGAATACTTTGTAACCAACAAAACTGAAGCAGAAATTGGAGGCTGCTCCAGGCTACAAGTGCCCAAGGTTTCCTTCAGGAGAGATGCAAAGAACAGGATGTATAGATGACGTGCGTGCCCCCTGCATTTCAGTAGAAATACAGACATGGAAAATGCACGCGAAGTGCAGAGAAGTGTTGCCTCCACTTCCTGGAGAAGGGA